TTGGTTGGTGGAGAACACTGGATCTCACATGTGTATATAGTTGTGGATATCTACGGATAGACTGAGAGAAGTGGTGTAGATATTGGATATTAGATAAGTGACGTAAGGAGGTGAGAGACTAGTATGGTGAGTACTGATGGGATTACATCAAGTGGGTGGATGTTCTGTTAGTCTTATGGAGTTGTGAGGGGAACACAAGTGATGGGGGGTAAGTTTTGGTTTTAATAGTGTAGGGTGAGAGGATCACAAAAGTTTTTCAGCATAAGGCTTCACACATACAGATGGTCACTATCGCTGTGGTCAGAGTGGTGAAGCGATTGAGGTGTTCTACAGTGGTTGCGATACAACTTCACTCGTATAGATTAAATTTCATCAGAGATGTTCTTAGAGTACTTGGCACTGCGCAGGAAGCAGTGTGAGACAGAATAGACATAGTCTCTGTTTACAGGGATCAGGCGCGACATTTAGGAATAAAGCGTGTGACAGGATTGCATATGGCGTGTGACTCACAGTGGGTGAGTGTATAGTCACAATCGTGGGATTTTCACAGGCGTTTTAGTGCAGTGTGAAAGAGTTTGAGCGTATGATTGATTTACTTCTGAAAGTGGCGCGTTGTGTCTAATAATGGATATGTGGGGACTTATAGAGGTAGAGTTCTTTGAGTAGGAGGATGTACACAATTTTGAGGGTGTGCTAGCGAACAGTTACTATTTGGATAGATTCAGGAAAGTTTGTGGTTCGGGTTATACACTCTTTCAGACATAGTGGGGGAGGTGAGTGGTAGTGAAAGATTATGGACATGTGAGTATAGTGGGGGGCTATAGGTGCTAAGGGAGGTATTACAGTTATATTAGTTATAAGTGTGAGGGGATGTAAGAGTTATTAGAGGGATACTACTGGGTAGAAGGAGGGTGTGAGATATTGGAGATTGACACATAAAAAATAGTGATACATTGGAGGTAGGACAGGAGGACAGAGCGAGGTTTGGATGATAGGCGAGACGGATATGTCAGGGTTTGATTGGACAAGTGAGGTAGAGCTGTGCATAGAGACGTCGGTGAATGCTAGAATTAGTGAGTAAGGGTAGTGGTGTGGTTATGAGAGCGGGTGCATCATATAATTGACGGGCGAGATTAGTACAGATAGAGGGAAGGCTGTACTAGGAGGTATAGAGTGTCAGTAGTGAGATCATATGTGGACAGTGGGGGGTTGCATTCACTTTGAGGATCAATTCTCATATAGTTACACTGGTGAGTGTGGTTTGTGTGGTGATACTCATAGAGCGTGAATACTGACGAGATGTCTGTGTCATCTTTGGGCACATCTGACTCAGACTAAGGGAGTTGGTGCGATAGCGGGGCTAAATCACTATTATCTTCTGGATGAGTGTTGTCTGCGACTGGAGAGTGATGGTAGCACGTCCGAGACTTGTGAAGCAAGCGCGTGATGGTGCGAGAGTTCTGTCGGTGTTAAGCACACAACGCGGATAGTAACGACTGGATATATTTATGATACCACACAGAGGGGCACAGGGGGGAGGCTTGGATGATTCAATGGGACAAATCTAAGTTAGTGTACAGATAGTGACTGGATCTCAGGCACAGGTGATTGTGGGACGTGGAGTCGTGGGTGAGGAATAGGGTGAGAGATAGGCTAGGAACTTGACATGGTTGGAATTGAGAGTCATTCCTCGACACTGCGGGGTTATTACAAAATGGATGGCAGCAACATATCACTTCTGCGAGTTGAGGGTATTGTAGTAGCCAGGACATCATCTCACGTAGAGGGGGGTGTAGGGTGGTGACACGGAGCACTGCAGTGCGTTGTCTACTCATAGAGTGATGATTAAGTATCTGAGCGTTAGGTTATCTGATAGAGTGTATTGAAATGACAGGAGACAGATCTGTATACTACACGCTGGAAACGTGTGTGGATTGGAATCGGTGGTAGTGCAGATTGTGGATTGTTACACACATATTTATCGATGGAGAGCGATGTCAATGGGGGATATGGGGACGAGACATCGTTGTGAGAGTAGGTGGTTTAGGTAATGAGACAAGGTAACAGGTATATATGAGTTAGGTGCGGAGAGAGAGGGTGGGACAGGGATGTGTGGGTGAGACAGGATCGAAGAGTGAGGAGTAGTATATAGAATAGGTCTTGGAGAGCGAGAGTCGTGATGGACACAGAGATGGTAGTGTGAATATGGACTAACTGGGTGACAGCAGTGTTGTGTTGAAATAGGGATGAGGGGATTTGAAAGGATGAGGGACGAGGTGACAAGAATGGAGAGGAGGTTGGGTGTGAGATGGGCTCATATTAGGCACTAGGGAGGAGTATCACATTCAGGGTGATAGAATCTGTAGTGATGGTCATGTATTTAGAGTTTGGCAATCTCTCTGATTAAGATGAGGGTTAAAGCAGCACATAGTCATGATGAGATGAGAACGGAACAGGCAGTGGATGATGTATAGAAGTACTTGTGTCAGTAGTAGATCAGGAGTTATTGGTAGGTCAGCGAGTAGAGGGGAGAGGGTAGGACACTCTTCATGGAGGATGGGGTGAGGTGTTTTAAGTGGAGGTTTAATGAATATTTATATAACATACGATAGTGCCTGATGGGGTTGGTGTTGAATGTGGAGGGAGTTACGGTGATTGGGGGACGAACATGCGAGACGGGGGGGATGTGGGGAGATGGATAACCACTGACGTGTCATTAGTATACGAGGGGAGGTAGTCAACACTCTAGGGTTGCGCACAGGTGATAGTGGTTAACACTGGATGACACTGTCTAGTAACAGACAGAGACGGGAGGAGTAGGGATGGATGATTTAGTGAGGTGAATACAATGTGAACGAGAATAGAGTGGTGCAGAGTATGGAGTAGTGAGAGTCTCAACTGATTGGAATTCTGAAGCACTACGAGGGGTTTCATTAGATAGCACACGATATGACAGAGAGGGAGGGAGAGACATACACACTGAGTAGACAGAGTAGAAAAAGGACAAGAGAATTGACACAGGACACACACATGAGAGTGAGACAGAGGGGTGTTGAAACTATTGTATACATACTCGATACTATGGTTTAGAGTGTGGGGGTATAGATTTGACATCAGCGGCGACAGAGGGGGGCATATTTAGGATGTGTACAAAGAAATGTGCAGGTGTGTAGGACTATGTGTTCGTACATGAATGACATCAACTGCAGCGGACTATATAGACATGCGGGATTGAGAGTGGGGAGTGTCTATGTTGTGTGACTAGGTGGTACGTGTAGAGTGAGAGAGAAGGTGGTTGGAGGATAGTAGTACCAGGGACTAGAGGTGTCAACAGGTGGTTAGGAGATGACATAGTAGGAATCATGAGGAGGATAGAGGACTATATATATGGAGGGTGGACAGAGGGACAGTGTGTCACAGGATACGGTGCAGATTAGAGTAGAGTATATAGGTGCAGAGTAATGATATAACTCAATTGACTTATTATGTGATATGTGTATCTCGGGAGGAGTTCGTGTGAACACGTTTCTTGAGGCAGACACAGGTGGTGGAGAAATGGTGATGGTGTGTTCATAGAGAGGACGAGGCGAGTGAGTGAACAAATGAAATATGGAACAGGAGGTGTGTGGAGGATAGGAGGAGGATATAATGGACAGTGTATATGGTGGAGATGCGAGGCGTCATGACAGGATACACAACCGTAGAGTGATTCTTTGTTACTCAAATATGATGAATAACTTTGTGTGGCGTCTATGTGCAGATATGAGGTCAACATGAGGGTCTGTGTTGACGAGGAGACATACAGACTGGAGGGGTGTGATGTGTCTCTTTCAGATGAGTGTCTCAGTGAGAGGACAGTGAGATGAGAGGTAGAAGTAGAACTGGAACAAGAGATGTGAGTGTCTATTACACGCGTGTATAGGAGTGGAGTGTGGTACGGAATAGTGGGTATGTCTAATATGGGGTTTGACAGTGACATATCTAAGGATAGACTGAGGATACTCGAAGGCGTGTAGGTAGTAAACAGTTGGGAGAGATGGTGGATGTGTGTGACAGGAATAGGATAGAGAATCCGGAGGAGTCTCTGAGAGATGAGACGAGCAAAGTGTAAGTATGGAGGGTGTGGAGAGAGGAGAGTGTCAGTGGGACAGACACACATATTTATTGTAGAGATGTCTAGGAGGAGAGTGATGAAGGATATGTGATTCACTACTCGATATGATACGCGGGGGACGAGTGATGTTTGCAGGACTACGTGAGTGATTGCTCACACTATAGCACATCTGGACTCTAGAGTTGGTATATAGTGTGGAGCACATGTCACACACTCTATCTTTGGACGTCAAGAGAATTTATCATAGGGAGGGGAGGTTGCTATAATAATGATCGTGAGTTTGGTGTGATTGAGGGGCACATACAGAATTATGCACACATTGACAAGTACTAGTATGTGGTATGGAACACATACATATGGGTTTGTGGTTTATAGTCGATGGACATTCTATGTTGAGGTCACAGTGTAGGTTTTATCGGGTGGTCAAACATACGAATGATAGAGATCAGAACGGTGAACACACCAGTCTTTGTGTATTGTGACAGAGGAACATACGAGTATTAGGTTGTATTGAGTAGGTAGGGTGGAACAAAGCATGATGAGACACACACATGAGCATGGTTCAGTATGGGTGTATAGAGCGATATATAGGAGTGATCTACTATCACAGGTATGGCAACTAGAACAGTCATCATGACACAGTGAAATGTAGTTCATTTTATATGGTGCTAAGTCACTACACTATGAGAGACGTGAGCACAGGTGATTAGGAGGAGAGAGAGGGAGTGGATAACTAGATACAAGTGTATTACACGATTAGTCTTATACGTATTGAGGACAATAAGAGAGACAGTAAGATAAAGGGATGGAGTAGCGTAATGTTGTGGAGGTGGAGTCGTGATAGGGTGTGCGAAAACGTATGTCTATCGGGTGGGGGACAAGAGGGATGGAGATATTGGGAAGGAACTATGGGAGGTAATTTAGAGGTATAGAAGAGGGTGGAAGGGGGATAATTGGGGGATAGTGTGGGAGGAGGGGGGGGGGGGGGGGGGGGGGGGGGGGGGAGGGGGGGGGGTGGGGGGGGAGGGGGGGGGGGAGGGGGGGGGAGGGGGGGGGGAGGGGGGGGGGGGAGGTGGGAGGAGGTAAGGTGGGGGGGGGTGGGGGGGGGGTGGGGGGGGGGGTGGGGGGGGGGGGGGGGGGTGGGGGGGGGAGGGGGGGGGGGGGGGGGGTGGGGGGGGGGGGGGTGGGGGGGGGGGGGGGGGGGGGGGGGGGGGGGGGGGGGGGTGGGGGGGGGGGGGGGGGGGGGGGGGGGGGGGGGGGGGGGGGGGTGGGGGGGGGGGGGGGGGGGGGGGGGGGGGGGGGGGGGGGAGGGGGGGGGGGGGGGGGGGGGGGGGGGGGGGGGGGGGGGGGGGGGGGGGGGGGGGGGGGGGGGGGGGGGGGGGGGGGGGGGGGGGGGGGGGGGGGGGGGGGGGGGGGGGGGGGGGGGGGGGGGGGGGGGGGGGGGGGGGGGGGGGGGGGGGGGGGGGGGGGGGGGGGGGGGGGGGGGGGGGGGGGGGGGGGTGGGGGGGGGGGGGGGGGGGGGGGGGGGGGGGGGGGGGGGGGGGGGGGGGGGGGGGGGGGGGGGGGGGGGGGGGGGGGGGGGGGGGGGGGGGGGAGGGGGGGGGGGGGGGGGGTTTGGGTTGGGGGGGGGGGGGGGGGGTGGGGTGTGGGGGGGGTGAATGAATGAGGGTTGGAAGGAGGTGGGGTATGAGAGAGAGAATGGTGTTTTAATGGGTGTTGGGGAAAAAAATGTGTCCA